CTTAATTTGATAACGGTCGAGAGTGGCCGACTTCATCCCATGTCGGTCACGGCACTCACTCACTCACTCACCAGCCTCCATTTCATCCAAAGGGCATACCTACCCCCCTCAAAGGGGATACTTTTTTTTTTTTTTTCCTTGCACAGCCATTTCTAGGAGACGAGAAAGCGACTCGCTATGATACATCCCTTCCATCCCCCCCCCTTCGTTCCGAACCGGACTCGGATCTGGGAAAGCCCTTTTTTCCCAGCGTCCAGTTGAGTTTCGCAGTTTTTCGCAAAAGCTGGCGGGGGTGAACTGACAAATTGGGTATAGCTTCGACAAATATCGTCCGTGCTCTAGGTAGTTACGTGTCGACTGTAAGGGCCGTCATTGGCGAATGGTGAGCGGAGGGGTATGATAGGCAGGCACCATAGGTAAGTCGAGAGATAGATAGATAGAGATAGGTACCGTTTAGCAATGCGCCGTTCGAAAAGTTAGTTCCATGAGCGGCTACACATGGTATCATGGCAGTTCAGAAGCTTCCCACGATGGGGTGAAAAGCGGGTTAGGAGGTTCAGGGCGTGTGCTGTGACGTTGGTTAAATCATATGCAAGGGTTGGGTTGAAAGCCCCGCTACGTTAACCGGTTAATTTTCATTAACCGTCTCATAACTTCCGTTTAGGCTCGCTACCAATGGATGGGAAGTGAATGATTCTTTCAATATTAACATGCAGACACCGCTAACCGCGGGTTTTGCATTGGAGCTATGTGGTTAACGTGGGCTTGGCGCTTGCCATGTCATCGCCATTGGGTTACGTTTCTTTACGTTACAGCCGGCGGGCGCATCAGTTCGCGACGCGCTTAACTTTCGTGAGGGGAGTGGCTCTTCAGGGTCCTCCCGATCGGTTCTATTACCGGGGCGATGGGTCGTTTGGGAGGAAAGGAAAGGAAAGGCAGACAGACGGGCTCTCCCTTCCCTTCCCTTCCCTTCCCTTCCCTTCCCCCCCCCGGTTACGGTACCGTACCGTAATGCTCAACGCTAGGAATAGGTTTCCGGATCGGTGGTTTCCTGCGGGAGGTGAAAGTAAACGAGGAAAGTAACTTTACCGTACACATACAATACTGTCAAGTATCATAACTCGGCGTTAAGTTACTGGGGGGGGATTCAAGCAGTACCGAGTAAACACACATCCATCATGGGGTAAAAATGGTTATCGGTGTGTTGATCCCGCGACTGCATGCAGCCGCTTGATCGCCCCTACCAGAGTTTGTACTGCCGGGAATGAGGGAGAGGGCACGCACGCTATGATGAAAGGACCCCCTTATTTGTTTCTCCCCTGGTTCAGACCATACTTTGAACCGAGGTCCACGTACTTGTAGAATGCGGTGCTATTATTGTAGAGACTAAAACTAAAACTAAAGCCATTGTATCACCACATATGCGCTTCAGGGGGGGTTTTTTTTTTCGAGTCTAAAGAATGGAGTCTCTTCACGATTTGTCTTGTTCTTTTTTTTCTTTCTGTTCGGAGGAGGAGGAAGAGGAGAAGTTAGTGGTACGATCTGTTTTCGTACCGAGCGTCATGATTACTTCTTCCCTGCCTGGGAGAACCCGACGAGTCAGTACCGTATCATACAGTCTGCTATTGAATTCGGTAACCGAGGGGGTATGACACAAGTAGCACCCGCAGCCACAGCCGCAGACTTGGACTCGTCCCGATCCAGGCCAGATGCGAGTAGCGTACAGTACCGGTAGAGAGAAAGGAGGACAGGGACGAAAAGAACATGGGAGAAAAGAAAGAAAAGAAAGAAAAGAAAAAAAGAAAAAAAAGAAGTTTCGGTTTTTTTTAATCGATTGTGGCACCCTGATCTGTATTTTTAGGTTATTACTCTACACCAGGGTTCGCGATCTGAAGGGCAGGGTAACATTACCCGGAATCTACCTGAGTCAGCAGGCATCATAGATAGGTAGGGTAGGTGGGGTACTGTACGGTACCGTAGGCAGGTACCGACCGACAGCCACAATGGTCATTCGTCCCCGACTCTTCATTTGGCAACAGGCACGGTGCAAATAAGTCGCACCAGTACGGTATCGCAGTAAAACATCTTGTCACCCGTCGCATCACATGGGCGTAACTGTAGAAAGGAGGGGAAAAAAAAAAAAAAGGAAGTGAGCCTTTCGAATCCACCTTTCCATCGTGCTGTATCATCCATCATCCGATACGGTACTGTGCCAATGCTACCAAGTAATCTGGTCGAATACTCGTACCGTACTGTGGTTGATAATGTGGCGCCTCGCCTAGAACAAAAAAACCCCACCACAGAACGGACTGCGGTCTCCGAAACTTTCCCGGTTCAGCTTCTGTCTGTTTCTTGGCGGTCGAGGATACTACGTGCTCAAGGACCATGGTGTCATACCGTGTGGGTCGGTAGTGGACTAACTGAGTAAGTTACCTACGGTACGAGGGTTTGTCCATCCCTACGGTAGTAGGCGAAGTCTTCCAAGATTGCTCGTTTACATGGAGGGTCGAGTCCCCCGCCCTTTAGTCATATAACCAAGCCACGGTGGCGACAAGGTAGGTATGTACCACACTACCCTAGAACCGTTTCCGTCAGGGACGTACGGTGACTTGACTACCGTTATTATGAGCGGGGGGGAGGGGGTATCAACAATGCGTGGCAGGACGAAATTTCGATCGGTGGGGATGGCAGGGAGATGCCTTGATGTCTGCGCCCTGTAACTCACTTAACTCGACTCGGTTACGGTATCATGCCTGACCCGCGCTGTCTGTCTTGCAGTCGCAACGGTACGGTACTAGTACTCCCGGGGATGGATTGGTGGGGGGCCCCGTTGGCCCCTGGTCTACCGGTAGGTTAATGCAGAATGGTGGAGTATAGTACGGGTAAGTCGAGTCAAGTCAGAGGAATTATGTGGTAGGCAGCAAAGCAGCCGACACCACCGAACGCAAAGTTAATCCAGATCCGATCTGTACGCCGCTCACCCGGGAGGGTATCTTTGGATGGCCAGGCACGGTTTTGTCTTGGACTGGGTTGGGCATATGGTGGTGGTGGTGGGTGGGTCGCTTGTGGTAGGCTTGTGTGTGTGGGCAGGTCAGTAGGTGGGAGCTTGGAGGGGCACGGCGTACCTCAATCTTTTTTTTTCCTATGGTAGCCCTTGCCTTTTTATTTTCTTCTTTCCTTCCTTCGATACATCACAGGGTATGATAGGAGTATAAGAATCTTCGTGGCCCGCAGCTAGCGGAGGGAAATAGGATACTTTGGGACTAGCAAATTCGGGGCTGCTATATCATACTACCACTGCCACTACTGCTTTGGCTACTACACTTCTTCGTCCAAACTATCCGCTAATATTACTTAAGTAGACCTACCCTTCTTCTACCCTCCTCCTAGCTCAGCACCGTTTTCCTTCTTTCATACCTACATTTGTCCGTCACTATGTCCTCCTCCTCCAACTCCAACCCTCACCAAGAAATCCACCTCCCCCAATACACCGACCAGTCTTCAGCCACTCCCACCTCTACCAGCGGAAACTCCGATCACACCCTCACCACTACCACTACCACCACAACCTTCTCAACTCCACCGCCCTCCATCCCGGCCGCTCCAACTGGTCCCCAAAGTCCGCTCGACCAATTCTTCTCCAGACACCACAACTTCACGCCCGCCCCGACCACCGCCGTTCCCCCCGCAGACTGGAACATCCATCATGACTTTGTCCGTCTCTGCGAGCACGAGGGATTGGTGCCTGGCACCCGCCAGTACGGCAGGGCAAAGAAACAGTTCCGCAGGGCCCTCATAAATGAGTTCAACCACATGTTTGGCATGAGCGACAGGGACCTGTCGAACTGGCAGAGGTTGTGCCGAGTGGTGGGCGTTCCGGAGGAGAGAATCCCAGGGACCCTCACCCAGTGCCACAGGGTCCGCTCCATTCCCTTCATCATCATTACTCACTAGCTAACCCTGTATATATACAGATGCTAGCCAGCATACACGTAAACCTACTCGACCTCGTCGAGACCCGCTACGCCGGCCGCGGCACCCCGCAGAGGTTCCGGACCCTGACGGCCTTGGGAAATTACACCCGGGAAACCGGGAGGTTCTTCCCACGCGAAGCTCGTAGCGGGGGGATCCTGGGTACGCTACTCCGCGAATTGAAGAGAGGGTAGATGGGGGTTACCCTTTTTTCAAGGTTACGCTCGGGCTGATACTTTCGCCCGCTGAATGCCGCGGTATCAGAAAGGATACCGCGATGGGTCGGGGCCTCTACCGCAAATATTTTGAGACCCCTTCGTATATTAGCTTGGAGGTGGGGGGGAGAGACGGACGGAGGGTGACCGCGGCGGGGAGGGGGACCCGATATCAACGGCCTGAGGGGAGTCTACACGCTCAGTGCGGATCGCCACTTCCTGGGTTGTGTGTTCTGCAGATTCTTTTTTCTTTTTCTTCTTCTTTAGAGGATATCATGCTTTCGCACGGGTTGCGCTGATATGATGGGAGTGATGGGAGTAGGTATAGGCAGGTAGGCAGGCGGTATAGCGACAACAAGTGGCGATAGCAAAGGGGTGGTGGGGTGGTGAAGTGGTCCCAACGTACAATCCTTCATTTTCAATTCTTTCATCTATCGTTTATTCTTTTTTTTATTCTTTATTTTTCATCTTCACGTCACTCATTCAGCCCGCCAATCGTTTCATTATTATTACACCTTTATCATGTTTTAAAATACACTCGTTTATCCGCCGTCGAAACGAAAAAAATAAATCCTTACTTGACGATTTGTCTTACTTACTTACAGTATTTACCTCGCCGCTGCTTGTCCTACCGGCACAGTGCGGTACCGTACCGTACCCGTCAGTCAGTCAGTCACTCACTCCACTGCAGATACCGGTATTGCGTATTGCGTATCGCACCGATCTGAATTACCGGTACCGGTATCCGCATTTCCCGCGCACAAAATATGCACGAGCTACCACGAACGTATCCCTCCGACAGTGCAGTACAGTACAGTACAGTGCCTTTAAAAACCAAAAAACAGAAAAAAAAGAAAAGAAAAAAGAAAGATATGCTTTTCTTTTGCCCTGACAGATCATATCTCAGCACTATACCGTACCCGTTCTAGTATAATAGCATCCCGAGATTTCTCTCTGTGTTCCGCCACTCGCTGGACGAATCGCCCGTAATGGCGTCCGAGGAATCATAGCTCAGAAGGGGCACATTAGAGATGGGGTGCTACACTACATCTATCATACTAGTACACCCCTAAATCATTTCCGCACGGCAGCACCACCCCTCCTCGTCCAGAAGCGCACATATCGTATCGTCATTTCAATCTACCCTAGTGGCCCATTCCTCCATTTAAAGTTGTGCTTTTACAGGGATTCTGGATAGAGTTAGTGCTTATACAGATCATAGCACATCACTCGTTGGCGGAGTAACACCCAAGGGGGTGCATTACATAAGCCTCTTTTTTTTCCATTAATCACCACCCTGTAATGTTCCACCAGGGGTTCGGCCGTGCACGAACTTTTTTTTCAGCTGAGAGGGTACCTCATTTCTTGGGAGGGTGGGAACATGTTGCAGCTGAAATCTGGGTCGGTCGCATGAAAAAAGAAGGAGAAGCGTGATACGATGTTCACCGGGGGAGGCCTTGAGCCAGCAGGGTGGGTGGGTGGATGGAAGCCTTCGGAAGCGGATATGGATGATTATATAATCGCCATACCGCTCACGTGATCGGTACGAGAGCTCGAGCAAACAACGGGCTTCTGTGGCTCCCTACCACCCGCCAACGTCATGATCGCACAACCACTTCACAACAGCCCCAGCCTGGCACGATGCCCCTCTCCCTTCGAGTACTACTACCATTTTCGCCACATATTCGCCCACTACACGCTGTCACGTACCTTCTTGGTGTTTCCCTCTTCTCAATCTCCTTTCTCGTCTTCCTGAATGCCGCACTCTCCTTCGTGCTAACCGATCTCCTCCACAAGCGCTCGCGGCTCGGTGACATTGTTGGCACCCTCGGTTTCGTTGATGAGCTCGTCGCCATCTTCGCCGCTCCGTTTTGGGGCGCCGTGTCCGATGGGAAGCTCGGCACGCGCGGGGTAGTGGTGCTTTGCTACTGGATTGTTGCGGGCTCTCTGGTGCTATTCGTCAACGTCCCGACCGTCTACCCCGGGTTATTGCTCGCTAGGATGGTATTCTCCGTCGGGGCGGCTGGTGTCGCGACGATGGTCTCTGCGATTCTACCCGAGATGACGGCTGCAGACGGTGCCTCCATACCTAGAAGAATCGTAATCACCCCGCCGAGCGAGAGTTCGCGTACACCCATTGTTCGCCGGGCAGGCACCCCGCCAGTGCAGTCTGGTGGGAAACTCGCCGGGCTGGTGGGATTATTTACGGGGTGCGGGGCGTTGCTCGCGCTGTTGGTATTCCTACAGCTGCCAACCCGATTCGCTCAGTACGGGCGTGAGGAGGCGGTTCGGCGGGCGTTTTACACGGTGGCCGCGACCGCCGCGGGGGTTGGGACCTGGTGCTCTTTCGGCTTGCCGGGGCGGGGAAAGGGAACTCGTCATAGGAGCTTTAGAAAATATATGTATGATGCGAGAGTGTGGATTTGGACCAAAATCTGGGGCGGATCTCCAGAAGCGCTGCCTTCCTTGCTATCCCCACCATCCCCTTCCCCGTCCACCTCTCCAACATCCGGTTCCACTCAAGCCCCTCGCGGTGGCGGCTTAAGGTCCCTAATAGCTGCATTCAAAGCCGGTCTTACGGACTCCCGTCTCTCGCTCTCTTACCTAGCCGGCTTCGTCGCCCGTGCAACATCGGTCGGAATATCACTCTTCATTCCCCTCTTTGTAAACGCATACTTTATCCGTCAGGGCCTCTGCCTCCCTTCAACGCCTTCCTCGCCGACCCCGGAGACATGCCGGCAAGCTTACATCCTTGCCGCAAAGCTCACCGGCACAACGCAGCTAACTGCGCTCTTGCTTGCACCCGTGTTCGGTTTCTGGACCGATCATGCGGCGGCAAGCGATGGGCGGAATACCCCGTTGGTGGTGTCGGCGCTGCTAGGCATCGTCGGTTTCACCGGCTTCGGAGCGCTGGTGTCTCCGGAGCCGCGGGAGAATCCCATGGTCTGGGTATACGCTGTATTAATGGGCGCAGCACAGATCGGCGGGATCGTGTGTTCTCTTGGATTACTCGCCCGTGCCGTCTCCTCTTCCCATTCTGAGGGGGAGGGGGAGGAGGAGGAGGAGGAGCCACTACTTTCCGAGGCAGGAACCCCTAGGATTTGTGACAGACAACATGTCAAGGGCGGTATCGCTGGGGTGTACAGTCTCTCTGGAGGAGTTGGAATACTCGCGCTCACGAAACTGGGCGGGTGGGGATTTGACAGTATTGGGAGCGGGTGGCCATTCTGGTTGCTTGCTGGGTTTGAAGGCTTGTTGGTACTTGCTGGTGTGTTTGAGGGGATTTTCGGGTCTGAGGTGGGTGGGCAAGGGTAGGTTGAGATTGTTTTTCTGTAAATAGCTTAGGACACAGACTGGTGGGTAGATTTTGGGCGTTCTGGACTCAGTGGTCTTGGCTTGACTCTGTATGTGTTCCGATATCGTGAAGCATGTTTTCCTTACAACCGTCGGTCTACCTTGCAAATCCCAAGAACCGAGTGGCGATTGTGGAAGGCCGTCACTCCCTGCCCTAGTCCACTTTCGTCCGTGCACTCCGGGGCTGCCGCGGTCCTGCCGTGCCGGGGGCATCCTTGACTTTTGCTCGCGTGGCATCTGCTACGAGTACTGGTAGCCATCCTGCCAATCCCCCGCGCCGTCCACGTTACGTAAACAATGCATAACCTATCACATCGTGAGTAGTAACAGTGGCAGAAGTGAGGTGAGGTGAGGTGAGGCAGGATATCGTGGAATGCTGAGGGGGGAATCACGACGCTCCTTCGCTAGAAAAAAAACAAAAAGAAAAAACCAGAAGTCCGGCAGCGCTTCGATCTCTATCATATCATACCACAATAGGAGGCCGACATCCCCCCTCCTCCCTCCAATTTTTCCGCAGCACAACTCTATAGCAAGCCAACACCTTTTAAAGCGACACGGAGCACAGACGAATGCCCTATCATACAAATCCGGACTTGCCCCCTTTTTTTCCCTCCTCTTGCTCGGCGAACTCACGGCTATTCATCCCACAGAACTGAGTCTGGCTGACTCAGCGATAATAACAATTGCAAGTAAGAGAATCGAGTGATAATACGTGAGTCGGGTCATCCTCTGTCAGCGCCTTGGCTTGCGCCGGGCTCCGAGGGAGGGGTATCGGGTGTGTGTTTTTGTGTTGGGCCTAAAGATTTTGGTTTAGTTTGGGCTGTGGTATCGCATGGAGGAGTTTAGGGAGAGAGGGAGTGGAGTGTGTTTAACGGGGCGTGTTGACCTCCGCGAATCCAGGTGTTTTTGTATGATAGATAGGTTAGGCGGCCGGGTTAGTGTGGCGGTTCCGGACGAGTGGGGTTACCGTACGGGCTTGTGAGTTTGGGTTGTATGGCAGGTGTTGGTTGGTTGGTTGTCCGGGGCGTGATATATAGTGCTGTGATACTGGACCGGTTCTCTTCTGTCTTCTGGCTCGCCATGGAGAGAAGTGGGAATGAGAGCACTTTTCTTGATCAAATGATGGATGGACCCTTCCTTCTTATATTACCCATTCCTTGTCATTATTTTTTTCGGAGTTGTGCGTCGTCGTTCGGGGAGTTGCACAGTCTACTATTGGATATCCGTCGCCTCACCTTGACTGTGCAGCAAGAAACGCGCTCCGGACACGTAAGATGAGGTGAACCGAGGTAGGTGCCTGCCATACTCAGCAGTACGACAGTGCGAGTATCATTACTTGTTGTGATATGTCGGGGGGGAGGGTTATCCCTTCTCCGGTAGACAGGGTGGGGATTAGTCTAGTATTGGGCGGTTTAACATTCTGTTTCCGCGCATATCTGGTCAATGTCCCCTGTTTTGGTGATTTGGATTGCAACATCAGGCTCTATCTTCGTGTCATTTTCGCTGTGGAGGCATACCATCTTACCCGGGGGGGATTCCGAGCAAGGGTTGGTCCGTTCGAGTACTAGCCTGAATGGGACAAGTTACTCAGGTTTATCAAGTAGGCGGTTTGGGAGTTTGCTGGGCGTGAGTATTTTTTTTTTTTCCTTCTTATATATACCGAGGTTCACTATTCACAATGGCAATATTATAAATTTCTGGAGAATGAGGGGGGTATTCCTCTTCTTGCTTTTAGGAATCTGCTCTGAGTGTGTTGGTTGGGGAGTTCAGCTGGATTTTTGCGCTGACTCAGAACTTTTATGGGGTGGATGGGTTTCGAGAGAGTGTCTATCCTTGGTATTTTTGAGGAGCTCTTGCTTGGGTTTTTGTTTTGTTTTTTGAAGTGGGGGGGTGCTGAATTTGTGATTTCGTTTGGTGGAGGGCGTGTTCGGGGTTTTCGGGGTATGGGGCCCGAATTGACGTGAAGGATTGTGAGGGATGGTATTCGGTGCTCAACTCGAGCATTTTGTCGGGGAGGAACGAGAGGCTAGCTTGCCGACCTAGCTTTCCCCTCGATGCCCGCATTGCTCGGGCAGGTGTTGGTAGTAGTGATGCCCGAGCAAAGTACCGGTACCGCACCCCATTCACTACGAACGACTTTATCGGCATAGCTCTACCCCTCGGTCTGCCAGAACACCCAACAAATCCATAGAATAGGTCTCGGTTTGAAACTCCAGTAATTTGTTTCTGGATAGGGGGGATAAGATGCTTTCCTGATCTCACTGGCTTCTCAACATGATCTCTCGGGGGGGGGGCAGGCGGCGTGCGAGGGGATACAAACCACCCTGGTACCATATTTTCAGTGCTACAACCCACGGTGCAGGATCTTCGGGTGCTCTTTGGACGCTGGTAATCCGGCCTGCCAGCACGCAAGACCTACCCTGAGGAAACTTTCGAATTCCGAGTGATCGGTGATGGGGTAGTGAGTCCCTGTCATGGCCCATAATCCTGCTCGATTCGTCACATGAGGGATGGGAATTACGTAGCATGACGAGGTGGCATGGGTAGCACCGGGAGGTTAACTCGCCGTACTGTACCTATAAAGGAATGGTTCCCCACCTTCTCCCTCCTTGGACCTTGGGATACCTTCGCTTCGCTGCGGCGGCATCGGTGGGGACAGGCACGGTTTTTGCTCCCTCGGAACATACCCCGGGCTGACGCAATGGACTTCCCCTCCTCTCGGGATGTCCGTGGTGATGGAAAATTGGTGCTGCTGCGCCCTGGAGATACCTGTCCGGCAGAGTTGTGGCATACCGCTATCACGAAAGAGGGCTCCACTTCCCGATGGGCCATTACCGATAAGATAAGGACTCGCTTGGTCACGTATCTATCCTAAATAAGGTACGCGCGCTTCTGTTGAAGCCTCCTGACAACGGGTTCTTGGCTTGTTTAACGGGGTAACCATGCTAATAGGTAGCAGAGATATTTTTTTCCCCCGCCATCAGCCTGCGTGGTGAGCCCCTAGGTATCGTCGGCAGAGCTGGTTCATGGTGAATTCACCGTTGGACGGGGGGATCAAGGGCCGCACATACTCGTATGGGCACATGGCTCTGCGGTGAACGGCTCCTTACTTGCACTCCCCTCTTCTGCAGGTGATCATTGCATTCAGTCCTGCTGAGACATATGTGTCAAGTTGGCTGTCGGCACGCAGTGGGAGTACAATTCTGCCCCGTCCTCCCCTTTAGAAAAATACATCCGGCCATTAATGATACCGTATGTCACAATGCTAGGAATGCTGGGGGAACGCTATTCTGTGCCACCGCTATCTGCAAAACCCACATCCCTGTCGCTCCTATGAGCGTGGCCCGATGACCGGACCCTCGGAATCTCGGTGCGACGTCGGGAGCAAGGTTTGATCGAGAACTTCGTCCCGTGAACCCGGTTACAGGGGATCCGGTCGCTCGTCCCCGGGGATATCGGTATGTCTAAAGCTATTTTATCATAAGAAGTCCCACTATGATCCCCTTTGACCGGTCTACGCCCTGCATATGCAGTATCTACGGCGTAGTTCCCAGAACCCCGGTTGAACCATCGGACCGGGATCCGGTGATTTGGTGAGAGGCTGGGCTTGCACAAATGGTCTGTGGTCTTAGCGGGGCCAATCACCTCATCTTAACGTGCTGAACGGTGACCCGGAGTGCGCTGTGACTCGGAACGAGGGTCGGGCAGCGTGACTGCTTGCTTAGTAAGCAAAATCCTGTCCAGTTGCCATTGTTTCATGTCACCGTGAGCCCCCAGGTCAATGAGGTATGTGGACTATTTCGTCAGTAGAGGAACACCTGGGCACGGAATATTACTTCCGATGGACACTCCTCGACTGCGATCCACCGGGGCGGGGTTTGGCCGACCGTCATGGGTGCGCTTCCGTATCTGGAATCCCATGATATCTGGATTGCATCAAGAATACGGCGAAACCTGTTTTTCGAAACAAATCCAACATCAGACTGCGAGGAGCCAAAAGCCGGCAAATATTCCCAAGGTCAGTTCCAGGGCTCTGGATGTCGTGTGGTTTGAAGCAAGGGATGAGGGTGAGAACAAGGCCGACTGGTCGCCCATGCTACCAGCTTCGCCAATGATTGGAATCCACCGTCGCGCCACAAGCAACAGTTGAGCGTGTGACGCTCTAGTAATAATTCGGTACTCGTCTTCGGCAGACAGCGCTTCAGCACGGGCCCTTTCTAGCGGGTGCACTTCCCTTCAGTTATCGGTAATCTGAGTACCGGTACCGGTACTCGAGCCCAGTTCCAGCGACTAGCTCGGCTCTTGGAGCCTGCAGCGTTGCCAAATGCTATACCGATCCCTAACCCTGTTTCGTATGAGACCGACTGGGTAGTGGAGCGAGGTACCGGTATCATAGATAGCGCCATCTTCTTTGGCGAGCCTCTCCCTACCGTGTGAGTACCTGGTCTCAGAGTCGCCCTTGCATCGCTCGGATAAACCATGATCCAATCGGAATACCGGTAGACAGGGAAAAGGGAGGATCATTTCCTCCTTTCCTTCTAGAAATACATGGGATACCTCTATTAGGGATACGGTGAAAAAGGTGGGCGTACTACAAGTAGTACTACACACCCTAATTCATTCCGAACATCTGGGCTTTTCCCCCAAAGCAAGGCATGGCTCGGACTGCGCGATAACTGCCTGAAGGCCGATCACGCGGCTCGCTGCAAGGAATGAAATCTGGATTCGGTTTCCCACACGGTTTTGATGAAAACATCCTACCGATCGCTCCAGCACGGAAATGACGTGGCAGGGCAAGCGAGTATTTCGGGGGAAAGCTGCTTGCTGCGCAGAAGGCGGGACAAAGGTTGTGCACTGTACTGGTAGGTATCGCACTATAGTACCATACCTAAGTACTATGCGTACTACTGCGCACATTCACGCACTGACGGGGGGAGTAGGGTGCTTTGAATTCACGACCACGAGGGGTCACCAATGCAATACTGAATGGCGGCGTCTACCGTATGGAACATATCGCAGGAGCTGTGGTGGTGACAACTACCGTACTACATTGTATAGTGTGCACTAAACTGTCCGCACTGATACAAGGGAGTACTTTACCGTACCGTCCTGTTATCCATGGCATCTGAAACAAAAAAAAAATTAAAAAAAAATAGCTTTTCGCACTATTCGGCCGGTTATTGACGTGGGCGTTATGACAGCACTCGGATGACACACGGGGGAGAGGCGCTCTTCGCGATCGCGATGAGTTCTTCTGATCCACGCGGCAGCGGAGGGCACACGGTCTTTTTACCGTTAACCAGGCTCTCGGGATAGGCCGAAACTGTCACATGAGCGTGCGTCACGTAGGCCTCTGAATTCCATCAGCCCCAACCTGCAGAACCCTGGAGATCCTTGCAAGCGAGGAACGAATACAATACCGTACCCGAACTCCTGTCTCAGATGTGTTCGCTTTTTCTCTTTCTTTTTTCCTCCTCTTCCATAGGAGGTTTATCGTTGCATGAAACCGTGTTCAACGGGGAGGGGAGGGAGCAGCAGCGGGGGGAAGCGGGGAGAAGTTGCGCTTATGGTGGCTGAATATTGGAGGAACAGAAAGTTGCGATTGAACCCGTTCTATTCGCTAATTAGGGGGGGGGGTTCGGATCCGGCTTGCCTCGGCGGAACATGACCCGATACACTTTGGCTTGGAGGGGGGTCAAGGAGCGGCATCCATGTGAATTCCGACGGCACTTCGTCATTGACCAGAGGCACGAGATACGTAAGCAGGTGGGTTGGTGGGAAGGTAAGGCAAGACTCCGACTTGACTCCCTGCCTACTTACCCACTCGAGTACCTACCCACCTGCCAGCAATCTCCCGAATCAACCGGAGAGCCACCATCACTGGAAACAAGGAGGACGGGGGCAGTGGTGGAGGGGATACTCAGCAAATGGTTGGAACCTCATCTCGTGCCATGCTACAACTTATATAAAGGGCCTGCTGCCGGCGGCGGGGGGGAAGCAGAGAAGGGAGAAATTCAAAAGCACCATCATATATTATCTTATACAAGTATCTATCACTGCCAATTCATATTCAATCATGAGCGAATCTGCATCAAGACTAGAACCAATTACTACACCACCTCCACCACCGCCTCCGGACATGACTACTTCCTATGAGACACCGAGCAATATCTTCTTCCCCCCTTACCTCCTCCAAGACGTCTTCGAGCACTTGGACCCTCTAGACCTAGTCACTTGCAAGCGCGTCTGCACGCTCTGGTACTCAATTATCTGGGGCCGCCGTCGCCTGCGACAAAAGCTCTTCCTTCCCCAAGCCACCGCTGAGAAAACCCCCACCAGTCACCTCGTCAACTCTCCAGACGAAGCCTATGACCTCCACCCCGTTTTCAATCTAATCCATTTCGACGCCTCGTTGGACCCTGCATTAGCTACCTTTGGCCGGAAAAAATGCACCCTCTTAAAGGAATCCGCGGTGAAGGATCATTACGCTACCTACCCGGCGACCACAAGGGTGGAGATGGACGTTATACACTTTCACCCGCACTTGGTGGTGGAGAACGAGACGGGGGTGACGGTCTGGGACGTTATGCTGGAGTTGGCGAAATAGTACTTCCACCTCCCCCACCCTCTCCCCTTCCCAACGGGGGAGTTGGCCGATTCTAACGTGAGAACAGCAAAGCGGAGCGCACGCACTTCACCTTCCAGACATTCTTCCAATCAGACATTTGCAAGAAGCGCGGGTATGACCAGCGCCGGCGCATGCACCGCAAGGATTTATTGGGCATTGACAGGTACGTTGGTTCTCATATGACCGGCGCCCCGTCGGATTTGAATTGGCCGAGCTGATTTGGAGGTGGAAGCGTGTTTATCACCTTCAACGATAGCGACCCCAGGGACGGACGGGTATTCGTTGGCGAATCGTTCGAGTCGCGAAAGGGTGTCGCCGTGGGCAAGAAGTATAGGTTTTGGAGCGCTTTTGCTTTTTGCGAGTTTCCGCTCATGGCCGAGTGAATGTGTGGGAGGGGAGAGGGGGATTTGCGATCGTGATCGAGAGATGATGATTATTGTGGCGCTTTCTCTCTTCTTTTCTTTTTTCCTTTTTTTTTCCTTTTTTTTTCTCTGGGTGGCTTGTGATGCTGAGGTTACTTTTTGGGCCCGTCGTTTCGGATTTCTTTTCCTCATGTCATGTTTGGTGTGGGTGTTTTGTCTTTTTGTGACCCGTGTTCAGCCTAGCGATGGAGTTTGTCTGTGATTTTTGGTTCTGATTTACTTGATCTTGTAATTTATTGGACACACAGCCGTAGCGTACAAGTACTCTTGTAGTCTTCTTTTACCGTTTCGTCTGGAGTTTTCTTTTCTTTTCTTTTCTTTTTTCTTTTTTTTCTTTTCTGTCGGTTTATCGAAAATCTTCCAATATACAACCGGTTTACCGTGCATTGCATTGATTAATTTAATTAATTATTGACCGGAGCGATGTCATATCATAATATTATCATGTCCGGGGATTTGGCCACGGCTTGGCTTTTTTTCTTTTTCTTTTTTGACTTGTAGGAATACCGGTAAGTGGGTAGCCTGAGAAGGATAGAAGCTGTTGCCAAAACAATACAACTTGTACCGGTACAAGTACCGGTTCTCGAGGTGTACAGTACTAGTACCGTATAGTACCGTTCGAGTTTGTCCTCCCCCTTTATTTTTATTTTTATTTTTAAAACATGTGAAAACCATGCTCTGGTAGACTATGGTACCCGTACAGTACAAGTATGATGGTTTCTGCCGCCCAGGGAGGGGAGGGGGTTAGGTATGACACGACGCCGAATCACATTTTTTTATTTTATTTTGGTAAAAAATCACGGGTATGATACGGTACTGTTGTGATGATGCTCTAGACTAACTTAAGATGGGGGGGATAACTGAACTTGGCCAAATCGGAGGTGCCGTAGTATCATACTGTACTGTACGTACCAGTACTGTACTGTGCATACGGTAGTCTACGCTGGATGGAGGCTCAAGCATAAGCTTTTGCGATCTTTTGGTCGTTGGTTCACAGTTCGTTAGATTGCTGGTTATCTTTTACAGTACTACTCTATAGATTGTGGCGTAATTATTGGTGTCGATCGTTGTGGCTTACAGGTGAGGAGTGAGGCTTGGACTTTGTTATTTTCTGATTTGATTTGTTGGTGGATGGCGATGTTTCATAGGATGGTTGCGACTTTTTTTTTTGTTTTTCTGTGAAGATCTGGGGGTAGGGCTGAAGTTGTGTATCGTCGTGATAGCTTCGGTTCGTAGATTGTTGGAGATTGGAAATTTGGGTATGGGAGGGTGGTGGGGGGTTCGATTGTACGAGTACGGTATAATGCACTGTACTGGTATCATACTGTACGGTGAATTGGTAGTGGTGGGTACTGTACTCGAGTAAGGTGGTATTATATGTCCGGAAAAGTATATCCCCCTCCCTTTCCCTACAGCTCACATCCCCAGTACATTGCATCTACACTTTACAGGAATTTCTTTTACGATATCATAATGAAGCAGTGGGTTGATCTCTAGGTGTTAGCTTTGTTCCCTTTTTTTTTATTATTTTTACATTTTAGGCTGGAGAAGGCGGTGCCCATCATCGGGTACAAACCGCATTATATAACATTAGAGTACGTCCGAAGTGCGCGTACCATGCTTGAAAACACTTCCTTTGAAAAGACAATCATTCTGATATGATATTATGATGATGGCACTGCATTCCCGTACGGTACCCTGAAACGGCATAAACCTGCCGAGTGCGATATAATATTTCCCATAGTTTGTGATACGTCTTCCGATACTATTTTTATTTTTATTTTTTAGTGTGCTGCTGTTGCCGTCTCGTGCAGTTTGGACTTGTGTTTGAAACCGGTGGCTTGTTTGGTCGGTCATTCGCTCCGACAAATTATATTCACCATCACGATGGACATCAATTTCTTTTCGGAAAGGTTCGAGACAATTGGAGTTCTTGTTTATTGGTGGGCACCCCTTTTTGTTCTAGTCGTCGATTCCAAGTCTCAGGAAACCATACTCTGCTCTAGGGTGTGTTAATCAGCAACAGGAATCTCACCGGCTTTATCGAGTGCTACTCCCCCCCCGCTCTCGGGAATGGCCGCAGACTTGAGGTTTGTGGTTTCGGTCACTCGGAGGGCCGTGGGTGGTGGTCGCGATATGATGGACTGCAGCGTCTTCTCCGAGCGCGGTTGTCGTATGCTCGTTGATCGTGATGTTCGCTGCAGGATATCATGGCGGGGGTTCAAAAAAACGGAATCCTGAGCGATTGATGGAAGTTTGCTGAATCAAACTACCGTATCATAGCAACCAAGAGGATCAGGGTTAGGTATGTGCGAATTTATAGAATTGGCCTATCATATTTCTCGTACCGGTTTACGACTTTTCTCTTTTGCCCACGGTGTTGAGTTTTTTTTGATTTTTTGATTTTTTTCTCGCTTTTTCTTTCTATTTTCCAGCCCGCTCGGTTGTTTCCCTCTTATTCCGACGTGGTCGTGAGTCGTATCATACCGTACTCGCATCATATCACGCTCTAGGAGGAAGAAGGGATGGGGGAAAAAAGGCTTGTGTTCCTGGTGGTGAAAGGTCTTGGTGGCGGTGGCGATTACCTGTGCAGCACTACCTTGATACATTTACCGGTATGATACGAGTACAAAGTTCGCACACCCACCCAAGTATCATATCGCTAGCCCTTGGGAACGATTCATGATCCTCTCTTTCTTTGTTAATGCCGTACTCGGCAAAGCAGATTGTGATAGGATCTGGAATGTTCCTAGAGGTATATCCTAAGATGGTTATGCAAAGCCTCCCGCTGTTCTCTAAATCATTGGTATCGCAATGCAAGGAAGGGTACTGGAACTTTCATAGCACGGGCGTGGCTGTACGAGTACCCTACTATGCCTATATCTCCAGACGACCGTTGGGGTTCTGCCGAAGAGGTCTTGGGCTTATTATGATATGATACTACACTTAGCGGTGCAGAATGGGGCGGGGCATCAATCGGCTTGTGAGATGCGGTTTGTCCGGTTTGGTTACGCGTTTATCTAGCGAGGGTTGTGCGCAGGGCTAAGACGCACTCAAATGACGAATCAGCATGGTGTACAGTAAATGTGTAGGGAACTGTGCTCGGGTGTGCCTAGCAGTTGGGAAATATAGCCCTTGCCCCCCCCTTGGAGATTTGTACGGATGGGTAGTACATAACTCACGGTCGCTCTAGGATCAGCGGTACTGTACAGTACGAGTGCTCATATGATATGGCGAATATGATGGAGGTGAGGTGACGGTTCGGAGGCTGACGATGGAGCGGCGCGAAGCGGTAGTTCTGGAGGAGGAAGTGGTAGCACCGGTACTCGTACAGTCGTACTGATGAAACCGGCAGGGGCGGAGGCGTTGATCCGCACAGGGGTTCCGCAATTGACATCATTTAATTTACAGTTTCATGGAACGGCATCTTCTTTTTTTTCTTTGGCGCTGCACCGTACTATTGTACTCGAGTCTGATGCCGTGTTCCCAGCTTGAAACGTGTGAGGATCTAGCGTACGCACTCGCCCTTTTCGTGCAGCATTCTGGTACCGGTACTGTGCGTGCTTGTGCAGTAAAGTTCTGGCTACCGTAGTAAACAGTGTCACACTAGCCTAAACGTATGCATGCGAATATAAAAAATGATAGCACCCAAGAACGCTATACCTTACCCGCGATACCATGGAATAAACTAGACACCAGGCTCCTGCCATCTACCCGCCACACGGCTCACACCACGCGAGACAGGTGCATTCCAAGATTCGCTCCCCCCCGGTCCGCGCCCAAAAATCCCTCAGGTTCTGAGAAACCAAGGAATGGATACTTGTAAAAGGGGGTTGCGGATCGGCCCGGAGGGGTTGGCTTCATTTCTTCCACTCTCGGGTTTGCTGTGTGGCGTTGACGTTGGTGGTGGTGGTGAGGGTACGAGCATGGGTCTGGTGATGGATTAGGTGTGGGTGGGGAGCGCGTGGTTTGTGCCACGGGTCGATCGCTTTTTTTGGGGGGGTGGTGGTGGTACAGTAACTGCGTTGGCCGCCGCTTTGGGGAGATTATGGGCAATGATGGGAGGGATTTGCCGTGGCCAACGTAGACTGATGCACCGGTATTTGGCTTGTGTCCTAGAGAGATTATTATGCAGTCACGCTCTGTCACTCGTGTAAAGGGAATGTGGGAGTTGGAAAGATTATGACTACCAATTGCTAAGAACATGAAATGCATTCCCCCTCACTCAATATCTTTACTGCCTTCCCATCAATCTCCTAACCACCCCTTCCCCCTCCTTTGCAACTCCTCTCAGCACAACCGCCGTCCTTCCTCCTCCTCCTTCGCCTCACTAAATTCCCTGCCTCCGCTCCGTCCAACCCGCATGCAACCCCCTCCCCCACCAACGCCAGGTACCGTTTCTTGCAGGTGCTAGGTCCGAATCTGTAGCTCCCCCCAAGCCTCAAAATTTCCTCGCTGACCCTCTTCCACTTGATCCCTCCCTTCCCGTCTCCCCTTTCCCCTTCTACAGCCCTGATTAGAAAATTCACATCCTCCTGTAGCCATGGTGGCCGGCGCAGTCGCTCACATTTTGGTTTCGTCAGTGTGCGCATTCGGCCACGGAGAGTGCTCTCCGCTTCAGTGAGGTTAAGACGCGTGCGGATTGTCTTGTAGGAGATGCCTTGACGGCGCCATTGTAGGAGGAGGGCGTTCTGGGCTGTGTGGGTTGTTGGGAGGTGGGCGTGTTCTTTTGCGGTATTTGTCGATGTTTTAGTGGGAGGAGGGGATGGCGATGGCGGTGGGAGCGGTGGTGGCGGTTGCGTTCGCGGTTCTGGTTCCAGCGGGGGGTAGGGTTGGTATGGAAGCGGGGGGAGTGAGGGGGAGCTTGTGTACTGCGGAGTTACCACTAGATTCTGGGGCGGGGAGAAGTAATTGGATGAGTCTCCGGAGCAGGAAGGGGAGGGGTGTGTATCGGAAGTTAACTCCGGGAACAGGTCCGCGATCGCTTGGGTTGCCGCTGTTGTGTTCGGTGCTGCTGACTGGAGGGTGTAGCCCTGAGGTAAGTGCTCTAACTCTGATGGACAAATGCACGCACTTTCCTCCCCGCTCCTCGCTACCGTGAAATCGTACATTCCCGAAAAATCATCTCCTACTACCCCCCTCGATGGTGCGGGAAGGATTCCTATATTTGCCGGCTGCGACCCATATATTAGTGTCTTTCTTTAGAGCAAGTAAGAAATGCTAACCACGTTCTCATATTCATATCCGGACCCTGAGGCCTCGCACCCAAAGGGAAGGAGTTCCCAGGGATCGTGGTTTTGGAAGTGTGGATATGTGTATGAGAGGTCGATTTGATCTAGCGAGGGGTCTGGGAAGGGTGCAAGTTGCTGGATTGGAGTGAAGGCGTGTTGGCTCCATTCGTGGGCGGAGCGAGAGTACGGCGGGGTTGGTGAGTTGTTCTCCATCGCGGGACCGGATTTGGTGTGGGTGGGAGTGTATTGGGATTGAGGTCAAAAGAAGGAAAAATGAGAATAGCAATTGCGTCTAACAATAGTGCTGGTGGTGCAAAGGCGCAGTATGAGAGCCAATATAGGTAATGTGTCAATTGAAGCCGTAGAATTTACTAAACCGATAAACCAACCCATCAGCCAGTCATACAACCTCACCTACAAGAAAAACCCCTCTCCAAAGGATCCAATATAACTCACCTATAACCTAAAGCCGCAATGAGATTCTATATCGCACATCCGGTATCCTTTTTACCTCCTATATTAATATCAACTACAACTCTCATCCCCAACCCTCCCCCTCCTCTCTCCCCCTCCCTCCTACGAAGCGGATGTGGGGAGAAATATATATACCGGAACCACCCTCCTACTTCCCCAACCCACCGTTTACCGTGTGACACCGCTAACCAATTGGGAGAGCAGGCGGTGCAATGTTCTGTGGATAGCGCATGGCCTGAGGGCTGGCAAACCGGGTGTGGCCAATGGTAAGGCGGCGGGTGACCGGCTGATGCACGAGGCGGGATGGGAGTGGAGGTGATTGGCTGGGGGATATAAGGGGGTACGGTTGTTGGCGAGGAGGGTTTGAGTGGTAGCGAAGGAGAGGTGAGGAGGAGGTGGAGGAGGTTATGGAAGAGAAGCAAGAGGAAGGGAGTATAATTCAATGAAATGGGGAAGAGACTGGGATGGAAGTGGGTTGGGGGGAGTGGTGTCGGGATGATATCCTACCTGTGCTCACTGCTCACTGCTCACGGCATCCCGCCCACCCAGCCAACCCCCTGCTCACCTAATGCAACAAAGCGCCTTAACCATTCGCTATCAGCTAGGGAATGACCCCAGCAATGCTCGCCATCAAAGAGCAGTCCAAGACAAAGCCCTTTCTTCCCTCTCCAAATCAAACCTCCCGCCAGGAGGGGACATATCCCGGAATGGTGTTCCACCCTCACTGCTCTCCTCGCGATGACGCGAATCCCTGCCTGGGTGAGGGTATTGTTCTGTGTGATGATGGCAGGGAGGGTGCGAGCTTTGATGAATGGATGAAAGGGTGGGTGGATGCATGCGGGTAACCGGCGATTTGGGTTGACGGGATTGGATGGGGGAATGGATGGAGTATCGGGAGGGAAGGAATGGGGGTTAGAGGTGATGTGGGGATGAGGATCAATGATACACAGAAATTGTCCAATGGGTCCTGAATGGGTATACCGATTATTGGGCCAAAGAGCACGGTGGCAGTCGTACTGATACCCCACGACGATAAAATTCTTTCCATTATCGGGCAAATCGGCCTTCCCGCGTCAACCCCCCTATCGCTTCCCTCATCCCTCCATCCAGCCTTCTTACTACAGCTGCGATATGCGCACATGTTCAGGGAGATGGCACAGGGTAACACCTCATTTTGCATACAATCTAGACCGCTTTGTTCACACGACACATACAACTATTCGTCGCATCTCTGCCGGGAAATCTGTTTTTCTTGCATATTTTTAACCCTTCCTGGAATTCTTTCCTACGTATTCCATGTACTCCACCTTAAACCCTTTCATCTCTTCACCTCGTGAGCGGCAGGGATGTGATGGTCCGTGCTCTTTCATGTGGTTTCCCGATGGGCTGACAAGGTTTTTCGAGTGAGACTCTGTGATAGCGAAGACAGGGATGGGTATTGTCGCCATGGCTGCGGGCGCCGGGAGGGGGGAAGAGAAGGGGTGAAACGGGGAATTTCGTGGTTTTGTAGGGGTAAACCGGAATCCCCATAGGAGAGATGCTGAGTGGCATATGAGTGGTTAGGGTTTTTTTTCCTGCACGGGGAGTTTGGCAGAGAAGACTGTTTGGGGTGGGTGGGGCCTTCTGCTTCTGTTATTTTCCGCCTCTCCTTACCCCCGCTTCCCTTCCACTTTCTCTCTATAGCGCAACTATCGCTGGATCACCCGCCCCCCTGTTCCCGTAAAAAGAGAAAATTTTCTGCAACTTCACGTGGGTTTTGATCGCCAACAAGAAATACCCTAGGCGTCCTGCCCCCGGACTACCGGCCCCTGTCAACCAGCACACCACCGGTATGGTACCATCGCCAGCACCCCCGCCAGAGCCGGGGGGGCCACAACCGCTACCGCTCCTAGCATCGACGCTCCTTGGTCCCGGACTCACAGAGGCAACTCCGGCAGCGGCTCGACACCCCTCCAATGGCGAAGGGGGTCTTTAATGCGTCCAAAGGTGAGAATTCTGCACCCGTCCTGTGAAGAGAGGTTCTTCGAGTTGAGTCGGAAGCTCCCCTCTATGAGGAGGGATGTCCGGAATCTGAATGCGGCTTTCATCGGATACCCGAATGCGTATTGGAACCATTATCCCGGTGGGTCAAACTCAAGCCGTCGGGTGGATAACAACACACGATGGATCCGGATTGTGGCTGTGGTTTTTTTTTTCTTTTCACATATATATTTACTCATTTGTGAGCTCCCAACATTTATACGATACCTGTATGGTTATGATGCTGTAAAAAATAAGTAAATTACTGTAATAACAGATGGTTGTTTGTTCTGCCCCGGGTTATCATGTGGGCTCCCCAAGAGGACCATATTAGTGTGAGACATGTCGGATTAGAAGACGGGAGTTGCCTTCCAGTATGTCATATTTCGTGATGGGATGGGATATGGAGCCCTAATGACAAATATAGACAGATTCCCTAAAGTTTGCTTTCTCTCTCCAGTCACACCAGGAGATTCCCAAGGTTTGCTTGAACGGACTCAAGCGAGCAGTTGTCCAGAATATGACACTTTATTCGGTGATATATGTGAATGGTGGAATTGACGGGAAAAAAAGTGCACTTTTGGTATTACCTGTAGTGCCACGAGCGCAGTACAGCGCAGAGTGGGGAACGATGATCCCCGCGATAAATGAGTTGTGGGGTGCAGTAAAGTATGGCAACCGCACAAGCCTCATGCTGACGCCACAGGGTTTCCCTATGCCTGCCGTTGTGGGTTGGAATACCGGCAGTTGGGGTACATCTGGTTCTGGCCGTCTATCATATCATACCTCCGTAGACCGTGTGAGGGCTCAGCGAGGCGACACCCTCAGCGAGGCGCGGCATGGCTTGGCTCCCTACTGTCATTGACCGTATACAATCTTTGCTGCCAAATATCGCCAAGCCTCGCTGAGCCCTCATACGGTCTAGTACTAGTGACAACTTCCACTGCAGGGGTGAAATTGTTCCAAAATTCATGGGAAATAATAATATGGTGAGGGACTTCTGTAGCCGGAGTAATTTGCCAAGAAATTATTGCTCAACTTGGAGCTGCAAAGGTGTCCCAACAACTGCTCTGGTGAGAATTATAGCTCTATTAGATGATACAGGAGGAGGTTCTCAACACATTAATAGAGAGAAAATGAAAATACCACAAGTTTTCATGGAGTTATAAGGGTTTAAAACTAGGTAAACTTTTAGGGAATGTCTGGAGCATGTTAATTTCTGTTAATTTCCTTGGCACAGTCAGTTAATGCATGTTTGCCAAGAGAATAACCTCTATTAAGTCTACTGCTTGGTATATTAACTTACTATTGCTAAGCCGTGATGAATGTCTGTCCGCTTCAGCTACAGATGTCCCTCACCATAATAACAATAACACCTGAGCCTGCAATATCCTTCCCATGAAGGAATATAGGAGAAAAAATAGAAAAGGATAATTTGTCATAATTTTAACTCCGATCTTGTCAGTTCACCATAAAATGACTATTGCCAGTAGCTAACAGAGCAGTTAGGCAATTTGTATGGGTGAATGGAAGGGAATGGTTGTATCCAGACAAAACCTTAGGGCCTGTTCAGCGAGAATGGAACCATTCTGTTCCCCTATACAAATGACCATTTCCTTCTGTTCTAAAGATACCAAGACAACCATTTCCCTAGCAAAAATCATCAATGAACAGAATGGTTGACCTGCCTACTATTCCTGCCAAACAGGCCCTTACCATCTTTCCGAAAGGGGCAGGTATCCCAAAATAGTAGCCACCAGGTCTTGGCACAGCAACAAGAGTAGAAATAGATGTTTGATCCACTCTGAGAAGTGTTCAAACCTCCCCCCCACCCATCCTCTTCTACCCATCCAACCACCACTTATGAAACAATACTCCAAGTATCCACAACCAAACAGTACAATAACTACACGCTTCGTCTATTTGCAAAAAAGCAAGGAGTTTGCTTGGTCTCACAGAAAACTCTACGTTCATCTCTCCACAGAGCGTTTTTTACAGCAGATAACAATGGCCCCTTTGAGTGGAAAGAAGCAAACAAGGATGAAGGCTATGAGTGCTACCAACAGAAGGGTAGCTAGTATGATAATCATCTAGTG